AGAGGGATTTAAGATATATATACACTGTATATTTATTTATAAAAATAAACAAGCATTCTGCAGATGTAGGAGGTGGGTTAAATAAATTATTTATTTATTTCTGCTCAACTATATCTTGACTTTTAGTATATAAAATCATAATATATATATATATATATATATATATATATAGTATATAAATTATACATAAATATTTAAAAATTGCCTCAATCATAAATTTTTCCTTTTCAACTTATAAACTTCATGTTTTTCTAACAAATGAACGTTTCTAGTATGATTTCTGAGGTTTAAACTATTTTCATAAGCAAATGAAATCAAGGTTCTTATGATTATAAACAACAAGATTTACCATTAATACCATCATGTATTGTTGATTTCATATTATCTGAATCATATAAACAGTTTGTCTAGAATGATATAATGGATGTTGATGATCTTCAGTTATTAAATCACTTAATTGATTTTGATCAATCTTGAAAAAACCAAATTTTCAAGTACTTCAATCCAATATCCTGTATCCAACCAATTTTCCAGTTTCTTTAATTTTCATGATAATTATAGCCTTTTCAGTGTTATAACATCTATTATCACCTTAAGTCTCGGAAAATGTGTTTAATTTAACCAGAAATTAAAAGTTTTCATTTCTGAACTTGGTAATTTTCCATTTTCTGATCTTGGATATTTTTAAAGAAGTTGCCAGTCATTTGTTTGATAATAATGCGAAGGGATTCTTGGTATACTTGTTTATTAAGAACTTTTTCACAATATCTAATCTTTTCATTAAATCATCTGTTGAAATTTAATTGAATCTTACCAGTGGGATTATTTCTTTTAACAAGTTTTCAATTTTTTGCATTCATTCCATGTTTTTCATCCATTTCGACTTTGATTATTTTCAGATTAGCATTGACTTTTCTATAATTGTGTGGCCAATACTTTGGATGTTTTGATGAAATTTCATAAATGTGAATTAAATTTTGTTTTGTTGAATCCATCCATTCATTTTCTTGGACAATTAAATGAATGATTTTGTAAAATGTAATTCAAGAACCCAGTTTATCTATTTTAACAGGCCCACATAAATCTATCTTTTAATAATAAAAATAAAAGCCTAAAATCATTGTATTTGATATATTATCTTTTAAATTTACATTCATTAAAAGAAATTTGAAGATATTTTCTTTTTCACAGACCTTGTTTTAAAATTTTTGATATCCATATCCATTTTAATTCTATATTGATATATAATTGATTATGACTAATATTAATATATATATTGTTTTACTTGATCAAAAACAACGACGTCATGATAATAATAATTATGACTAAAATAAATTAAAATAATAATAATGATCACATTGTGTTTAAATATTACATAACTCGAATGTTTTAATTTATACATATATATAAATAGGCAAATAATTCAAAAATGAAAAAATAAAATAAATAAAAATGACAACACCTAAATTACCAGAACCAAAAAAAGGTTTTTTTGGTGGTATCAGCGATGCTCAAAAAATAATTATACTTTCAATTTTTGTATTATTATTTGCAATTATTACAAGTGTTTATTATGTTGGGTTGTATACAGTAATGAATTGGCTGTATGGTTGGATTCTGGATAAATTTGTTGATAAGGTCGATAAAGATGCTACTCAAATTAATGATAAAATCAAATATAATTAATGAATGGTAATTGTTATTATAAATATATTTATTAATATTAGTAATGATACATGCATAATAACTTAATTTCAATTAATATTCTAGTGTTCTATATATATTCGATTCTATAAAAGTATAAAAATATGTTTTTAAAAAAAGATTTTTTACAATTTTAAAAAAAACATTCCCCATTTTTTATCAAATGTTTTTAATTTTTATCTTCTAAAAATTTATAGTTTATTAATGTAATTATTTGGTATTTCATAAATCAATAAATTAGCAACTTCATTTGCTAATAAAAATCACGGGAATAATAATTTTCTTTATAAACTATTTCTTGAATTATTTTTCTTCGTAGTCATTATTCAAAACGACACTCAATTTGTATCCTGATCCATATTTATTTTTAAATCAATTGAAGTTCCCAATGCTTTGATTCTACCATTCAACATCACGCATATTTCAGCTTTTCCATAGAGTGAGTTGTCAAAACTATCACTTTATCTTTCTTAAAGCCACTCGGACATTTCCAAATATGTCTTCTATTGGGAGGACCCATCCAATATTGTTGGTTCATCCATAAAAATAACTTCGGATTTCCTATTATTGACATTAATTTTGTTAATCTACGCTTCATGCCTCCGTTAAAAGAATCAACTAGTCTTTTACCATAAACTTTATTCAATTTCTATAACTACAACCTCTCGTTTATAACTTCAGTTTGTTCTAACTTCGATGAATTTTTAATCCCAAAATACAATTCTAAATGTTCTTAAACTGTTAGGTCATCATAATGGACAAAACTGATAAAGTTCAAATCATTTCTCACGTTATAATAATAATTGTGCTGTAGACGTAATAATGCACCTCCTCCACTTATTGATGTTGGACTTGATAACGTATTCATAAAAGTAATTTTACCTGCCCCGTTTTGTCTCGAGATTAAACAGTTGTTTTTTTTTATCGATAAACAAAGTTTATCAACCGTTTTTGTATTTTTGTAAATACTAATTTTTAATTCGTAATCTAAATCGAAAACCAATCCTAAGGCTCCGAACGAATCAAATATATAATTTGATACAATTCGAACTGATTCGAATATATAATTTGATTTGGTTTGATTCAAACTGACTGGTTCGAATCTATAATAATAACTGATTTGAATCCATGATTTGAATCAAATACACTATATATAATAAATGAAAAATCTTTATTTTAATGTATATTTTATAATTTTATTTACAAAAAATATTTTTTATTTTATATTTATTTATATAGTATAAATATTGTAAAATTCAAAGAAAAAATTTTACCTGGAGCAATAATTGCATCTCTTGTTGAAAGAAATTGAAGAAGTTGAAGAAGCATCATATTAATACTTATTATTTTAGATTTAATGAATTGTACAACTGTTAAATCGTTACTTTTTTACTCATTATTATTATTAATAATATAGGTCACACGACCATTAATATTAATATTAATATCAAGAAATCCGTTATTATTAAAAATTCGAATAAATATCATATCAAGAAGAATTTTATTATCATTAAACCATTCTTAGACCTCAATTCATTAGTATTCATTAAATGGAGGCACACTAACTAAGATTCACTGTGTAATATAAATTTAAATTATCAAATTAAAAATATAAATTTAATGCAGGTATTATTAAAAACCTTAAAGTTTATTATAGAAAGCTATTTAATCAACAAATACTTCAAAATGTTGAAGAAAATAAAATAAATCCTGAAAAAATTGACATATTACAAGCAATTCGTTTTATTGTTTCTGCTTGGGAAAATGACATAAATGCAACAACAATTTATCATTGTTTTCTTCACTGTGGAATCCATTTACGAACAGAAGAGGATCCAGATGTTAATCACAATTTAATAGATATTCCAGATGTTATAGATGATATTGCAACTCAAATAAATGATCTTGGATACAGAAATCCAATGAATGTCAAAGAACTTCTTAATCAACCTGATGAAAATGAAGTTGCAGATATTCCAACAGATGAGACTATTATAGAGATGGTAAAAGAAAGAATGAAAGAAAATAATAATGAAAATGGAGAAAACAGTGAAGGTGATGATGCAATCGAAAGACCAAAAATCACATGTATAGAAGCTATTAATATGCTAGATTCTTTAGAGATTTTTTTTCTTCAACAAAATGAAGATTGTAGCAAAATTTTTAAAAATATTGCAATTCAAAAAAAAAGTATTATCCATTAAACAAAAGAATATGGTACAACCATCAATTAATAAATATTTTAATTTGTTAGATGAAACAGATAATTATGAATCAGACAATTTAGTGAGTTAGGCAATGTTGATGAATTGAATAGTTTTAATGAATTGAACAATTCAGATGAATTAAATGAATAAATTATATTCAATAAAT